AGCACTGAACTGGCCCCGCCCCGCAGGATCAGCATGTACCGACGGCGTTCGTGTACCGAGCGGTGCCCGAGTACCTCACCGCGCTTGACCACGTCGAGCGTGGGCCGCCGCGACGATTGAGCGAGCGAGCCTGCCGGCCGGGCGCCTGCGACGGTGCCGACATATCAGGGCGGCGCGGCCGACTGCAGCAGCACCGCCGCCAAGGCCCACATTTCCCCTGCCCGCGACCGCCATACGTGACGTGATACGGCGGGCGGCCGGGCTCGGCCATGCGCACAAGGTGCTGTACACAAGGCCGCTGTACATACGCCCGTTGGCATAACGAGAGGTAACGTGCCGCGCCGCGGTGCGGTGCGCCAAACATGTGTAGGATGTTGTGGCGGCGTGCACGCTGCACATACAGTGACGCCCGCCTGATGCATGTTCGCTAGCCGCGTCCCGGGCTCCGCTGCCGAGTCGACAGCCGGAGCACGGCCTGATCTTTCTTCTGCGTTTTAGATTATCTGTGCGCTGCATTTTGTCGGCGAGACGGTTCGAAGGGATTTTATTTGCACATGGTGTTCGTCTCCTCGTGACGTGTCGGCGGCTGGCGTCACGGCGACGGTGGCGGCGCCGCCAGGCCCTGCGTGCCGGGGGCCGCTCGTGCGGCCCGTGTGGTCGGGCGCCGCGCGTCCGGCTGCGAGCGGACGCCCGCGCCAGCGCCGGCGCCGGCCGCCCTGCCCCCGCTCCCCGGCCCGTCGGCCGCCCACCCCCGATCAGTTTTGTAATAGCATGTTTCTACACAGACATACATTGTATTTTTCAAGAAGACGTCGTCTTTTGAGAACGCGTTGGTTGGAACTAAGGAATGTATTTCTGACTGATTGGCGTGATCCAGCGGGCAGTGCAAGACACACTGCAACAACTCGAACGGAGCGCCACGAGTTTGCTGGCGGTGTTTCTCTCACCTGATTTATTTAAATGTCATCACTTAGCGACATCGCTCAACGGACACGGTATTAAGCGGCGACGCCACACACCGAGTGCCAATGTCAAAAACGAATAGTGCGGAATACAACGCGAGCACATGTCTGCACCACAAGCCATGCCACCAGTCGCTCCAGCAGGGGTACCCGCGGCCCGGCAAAGCGTGCGTGAACTCCTCTCCAGACCGCAACCTCGCAAGACGTCCATCCTGCAGTAAATCGAGGCCAGCGTATGAAATGTGGAGATGTACTTTGGAGAACGAGTTTGCGAGCGCGGTCGGCTCGCGGGCGGCGGTGTGAGGATCAGCCGGCTGGCTCGGCGCCGCGGCCGTGACGAGCGCACCCCTCCGCGCTCGGCCGCGCCCGCCGCGGCCGCACAGGCCGCTGCCCCGAAGCACGGCGCTCCAGGGAGCACCGTGCTCCGATGCGCGACTGCGCGCGCTGTCGGTGTGCTCTAACCTACTCCCGACTGCGGTGATCTGCGCGAGTTAGTCCGGTCGCACAGATGTGGGGATGTTAACGAAGCACGGTGGCGCCTGGAAATTTTCACATCTCGTTCTTGAACTTGGAGTCTTGTGCAGGAAGGCATTTGGCGCACGCAAAGGAACAAAGTGAGCCATTCGCGGAGCATACGGATCGAACCACATAGTGACTCTGAGCTGCATTCGACATCTTGCGAAATAAAAGATGAACACGTCAACTCATTGTGCCGATTGAGCCAGTGCCATGTAGACCTTCTACACGAGTACGGGATGCGTGAAGCGCCATTCCGAACGAGCTCTGCATCTGAAGCACACAAACAGCGCGATTCTGAAAAAAACAAGTGAACTTTCCGGCGAGAAAATGTTCTCAGCCAACTTGTGCTAACTCATACAGACCTCCTGAATGATAAACAAAATGCGATGTTGGATTAAGCTGGCTACGCTCAACATTCTCATGCGCAGCATCCAGAAACAGTGCCTACCAAATAAATGACAGAGTTATCAAACAGCTATATCAGCCATCGTTCCGGCCTGGCCGACGACTGCCTTTGCTCTCTGACCATAGACTAGTCTTATCACATTGATACGGGGGAGGGACACGGCCTCTCTGCGGCGCCGATGCGCGCTGGCCTCGGGACACCGGACGCGTGCCAACCAGCTGCAGCAGCATCTCCACCAGCGCCAGCGCCGCACGGGCCACCAACAACGGCCCCGCGAGGCTTCAGCACAGGCTCGAACATCAACCAGCGTCTGCGGACAGTGGACGGGGCGCGGCGACTGCTCCGGACGTGGGGCGGCGTGACTGCGGTCGGCCCGTCCCGCCTGGCTCCTGCCCGGCTCGCCCACGTCCGCGTTCGGCGGCGGCGGCGCGCTGCCCGTCGCCCGTCCGTCGGACTGCATTGGCGGCGGCGCCTCATCGGGACAGGATCACGCTCACCACCAGGATCACCCAGTTGGCGATCTTGTGGCAAAGCGGGCGGTCCGAGCCTGTGACGGGGAGGCCGTGATCGGCCCGGCAGCCGTGACGGGTGACGTCCAGCACGCCCAGGACGTTCGGGGGACAGAAATAACATAAAACATGTTTTCATTGTTATGATGATAACATCTAAATGCCGAAGGTGCTGGGCGTCATTGCTGTTACGTTTGTGATCACAACATAGCTCGTAACAATCACACCGCTTCACCAACGTGCATCGAAATCAATGGTATAGTATCTCAATGACAGCACGCACTATTCCCCATGGACCCGAGCTTTGGCTGTTCCGATGGCTTTCTGCACCACAATTTCTCAGACCACATCAGCTCGAATGCCCTCGATGTGTCCAATGACACCAATGCGCACTGGGACTCGAAGACAAGTGACAGGTGATACCCGGCAGCGACACGCACTTCAGCTAAATGTCCCCCTAGAGACGCCGTTCCCAGCAAAATGCGGCCCAGCTAAGCCGAAATTGAACCGAGAAGCGTTTGCGTCTCGCCATCTAAAAACCACGCCGAAAATTCGCTCAGAGTTCCGGCAATCAACGCAGCTATGAAGGGGGCGCCGCATGCAGTGGCAGGTGGCAGCGGGCAGGCCGGCGGCGGCGGCTCCTTCCGGGGGCACACGGGTCTAGCGGCGACGGAGCACGCGCTTACTGGCGGCAGTAGCGCCGACGACAGGGCGCGTGGCACGAACGATGGCAATATGCGCCGACAATGCCGACAGATGATGGCGATTATCTGGCGCTAATCTGGTGATACGAGCCGTTCGCACACATCCGACAGTGGTGTGAGCGCACGATCGAAGAGAAAGAAGAGACGCCGACAAAATCACTCCACAAACGGCCTTGGCTATAATGCAACAGTTCGAACCACACGTGAAAATATTTCGCTGAACGGTTGGCGTGGTGCGTTTGCTGTAATTAAGAATCTTAGACAAATAAATGCGAGCACTAGAATTATGCAAGCTCGCTAGGCGAAGAAACGCGGACCGATGCCTGATTTCCTGTCATGCGGGCAAGTGATATTCATCCTGGATGCCTCCCAACATAGTCAGTCTGCAGAACACATATCGTGGACAGAGTGCAATGGTTCTGTATCTGTCGACGTCCGCCGAAAACCAGGGCGAAACCTTGGCAGTCATGCGACCACGACATCGCCAGCTGCCATCAGCCGCTGCAGATCCGGGCCAACCGAAGCTGACCCGCACGCGCGGAGGATCAATTCAGCGTCCTGGCTACAACTGAGGCAAGCAAAACCCTCCTCAGCGTCATACACACGCATTAGGCTCATTCATTCACGTGCGACGGTGACCTGTGAAGTATAACCTGTACGCTGTGGCCGATGCCCGCCTACGCCGGCTGGTGCGAGTAGCGCGCTCGACAAAGACGGCACGCCGTGTCTGTGACCACCGAAGCATCCCCAGCTCCTCTGCACATAAGTGGAACGCTCGTCTGCCCAAGCCGGCTCGCGACCCGCTGCGGCCATTTTCGACGCTGAAGCCCTGCTCGCGCCACAATGACGGCGGCCGAGCCGGGCGCCCGGTACACGGTTCCACGCAGTGCACCGCGTCTCTTGAGACAGTTTTTCGGTCAGCGCTGGATGAGCCGTCCTCGACGCACTGCCTCCGCAACACCATCAGCGAGTATGAATACAGAGCGCCGGGCGGTGACTCCGGCAGATTGAAATGTGTGGCGGCTACGAGCGCCTGGCGTGCGTCGCCGGCGCCCTCTGTGGACTATTGTTTTTGTCGCTGTTTTCACGGCGGCAAAAACGCCGGCCACGTCTCGTCGGCGAGGGGCACAGCTGTTGACAGGCGGCACACGACCTTGTGTCAACCTTCGAATGGGACGGCCGCTTTATTGGCAATACGCAGCCGTGCCGTGAGAAAAACGACCTCCTTTGAGAAGCCATGAAAGCCGAATTGTGAGGATAACTCATAATTCAGCGGTTTCGCCGCGGCCCCTGGCTGTCGATCTGGCGGGAGGTGGGCGGGAGGGAGACGTCCCGGTGACAAGATGCTCGGAGCGGGGGAGACGCCGTGGAGCCTGTGCGGTACACCGAGCGTTGCCGGCCACCTGCCGACGACAAGGTCCTTCCCCTGACCCATGCCTGCCGTCAGCGAGGAGGCACCCCTGGCGTGGATGGGGCACAGCACGGTTTTTGCGGCGTGCGACTGTTTGGTGGGGCTGTGTGACGCTATTGGACAAACCGGACTGCACGGGCATGGTAACAGTCTCGACGAGGGACTACCATTACCGCACTTCATTGATCATCAATGTCTGGGATCACCAGCAGGATCCAATTTTGCCTGCCGGCCACAAACAGCGGAAGGCGCCGGGCGTCACAGAACACCGGCGGCGGTGGGCGTGGAGGCGGCCGGAAGTCTTACTTTTCCGGTTGGTGGTGGTGCTGTCGAGCACATGCGACACCTCTGGCGGCCGGTCGCCGACGGCGCTGGCCTCGCGACTCTGCCAGTACGGCGGCTGCACCAGGTCGATCTGTGCCGTGCACTTGAGCTTCATGGTGCCGCACTGGAAGTGGTGTGGCCGCACCCGGAAGTGGAGGCCGGCCGTCACCGACTCAAACCGCCCTTGTGGATGGTGAGCGGCCACAGCTTCAGGTGCTCCAGCGCCGCCTGGACGACAGACGAGCACGGATCAAAACGACGCCCGATTGTCTCCAGGACGTAGGGGGGGGGGGGACAAGGGGAGGAGAGGTGGCTCAGAGCGACGTCCGACGGCAGGCACGGCTGCCTCTCCAGGACGTAGGGGAAGGGGAGGGAGGACAAGGGGAGGTGAAGTGGCTCAGAGCGATGTCCGACGGCAGGCATCCATCCTCCTCCCCCCCCGCCTCTCCAGGAAGCGGCGGGGGGGGAGGAGGAGGAGGAGGAGAGGCGGGCCCACAGAGACAGCGGAGCACTCTTCAATAGCACGGTAGCGGCCGACCGGTCAGTGACAGCTCAGCGGAGCACGCGTGGCCCAGCACGTCAGACTAGGGGACCACGGCTCCACCACATCAGGGGGATAAGTACCTCAAATAAGACCGGGCAGTCGCTCATTTTGAAGGAAATTTAAGTCATAAGCTAGCCTGACTGTGATGCGTGCAATCTTGAAAACAACACACCTTAGATGGTACAAAAAAGACAACACATAAACCAGCTTGTGCACTTCTTTTCTTTGCCTTTGTAAGCTTCATTTGCCGCTGGGAAGCAGTCACTTGTCATTTTATATCAGACGTGTAGGATGCGGATATAGTCCCCGCCAGCAAGCGTCGCTGTCTGTCACAACACTGTCCGCACGTGCCGCGTGGAGCATCTTTGCGACGGAGACAACGGAGCAGTGCGACGGGCGCCGCTCCCGCGGGATGACTGGTGGCGCGTCACACACGATGGAAGGCGCAGATCCAGTCGCGCGCAACAGCTGGCCCACCACACTCGCCGACCAAGTTCTCGGTCGCATTTTCAGAACGGGAGGCTACGCGCCTCGAAATCTTTGCCAGTGTTCTTGTGAGAAGCTTCGAAAAAGGAGGCACGTCAGCGCGCTGCACCTCGTGTAGCCAATTGAATAGAATGCAACAAGTTGCCAGTACGCCGCTGGATCTAGACGCTGCTGTATGCGCAATGCATGCGTCGAGAAAATACCCAGCACGAAGTACCCAGAGTACCCAGTGAGCATACATCCGCCGGCAGAGTACCCCAGCGTCTCACCATTCGCTGCCAATGACAGGAGCAGCTGACGCTCGCGCTGGAGCGCGTGTTTATGGGCCGTCCTGACGGCGGCCCCGTGTCAAAGCCGACTAAGCTACGGCGGAGCGGTAGTCAACACCCATCGGCCGTGAGATCCCCCCCTCCCCCCCCCCCGAAGGCCATAAGCAATGTATCCAAAACCGCTGGATCCCTCTCTCACATGTCTCTGTCTCCCTCGATTACAACCCCGTCTTCCTATCGATCTTGCACGACGAAGAGCGTTGTAGTCACCAGCGGAATGTACGAATAGCCCGGCTTCACATCCACACACACACGGATGAGGCAAGCCGGCAGGGACATCTGGCCCCGGCGCCGGCTGTCGGCTGCCGCTCACCTCCTCGCTGTTGATGAACCAGGTCAGATTGGCGGCAGGAATGCTTCTGTGTGAGGTGCAGTTGACCTTGACCCGGTCGCCCACCTGGTAGCGGGTCTTGCCGCCGGTGTGGCCGGCCGGCGGCCGGGAACACTGCAGGCGGGGCAGCCGGTCAGCGCCGATGACCGCCACACGGCGTCGGTCAGACCGCCACACAACACCGGTTATACCGCCACACAACGCCGGTTAGACCGCCACACAACGCCGGTTAGACCGCCACACACGCGCGGTTAGACCGCCACACACATACCGCCACAATTCCGGTTAGACCACACAACGCCGCACACACAACGCCGGCCCGCTCCCAGCGGCCAGCTGGCGCACGCGGCCCTCTGCGGCTCGGCACTTCAGCCAGCCCGGCTTGAGCGGCGTAGGCAGGATCCACGTCAGAGATCATGATATGTATGCTGTTATCATGCCAATGCAGGCCAAATGAAGTCGAAATTTAGCAATTTATCGTGGACCATGCTGAAACCAACAACAAAGGGTTAGACAAACGGACCACGGAAGATTACAACAGCCGCGCTAACTGGACGGACATACGCCACGATGAACCAGCGGAGGCCTTGCACGACAGGCATGCACTGAGAACGGCGCGGATCGCGCGCTTCGGCACATTACCTTAGATGTGGCGTCTTCCACGCCTTTCATGATGTTCTTCTGACACGCAACACCCCCATGCTTTGGTCGAGCGGTCCCAATTGGCTGGCTACATATCATGACGAATTCACTTATGCTGCCGACATAATCCTCACTGCACATGGAACTCATCCGTCCGGCTGTTTCAGCGGGCGTTATCTTCGTCGAACACGCTCCATTACGTATGTACATCGGTGTCTGTGGCTGTATGTTAATGGTGTCATATTCCGCCCACCGAGGTTACATTAACTCGGCGCGTGTCGGACTGCGGACAACGCACCGCACAGGGAGACCGCTGACACCGCCGACAAACCAGCGACCCTAGGCGTCACGGACAGCTCTCCCGGCTGTACAGAAGCCCGCACGGAAGGCGGCAGACATCTCATGGCCGGCATCCGAACGGCTTGCCGACTCACTTAAATCAGGCGTAGGTGCAGGCGAATCTCTGAAAAATGTTGTCATCAGCACCGGAGCTAACACCCGGCCCGTGCTGCAGCCAATCCTACGCCACCCAGCCCACGGGGGGGGACGGCGGAACACTGACACCCGACCAGGTCACCGCCACGGCTGGTGTTCTCGACGCTCGCTTCCCGGTGTGTGCAGCCTATGCAGCCACGCCGACACAGATCGCCCTCGGCCGCCCCGTCACCGGGACGGGGGATCCGGGAAACGTAGGACGATAGCGACGCTACGTACGTCATCGGTCCGCTCAGCGCAACCTCCAGGTGACCTAGTTGTGACCTATGTGACCTAGTTGCTGGAGCGGGGGGCGGGATGAGTCACCGTAGCCACGAGCTGCGGCGGGTGCCACGGCTGTTCATCTCACGGGGTGCAGTATTTTGCTGACTGAGCTTCCATTTCGGGAAAAAACAGAAAACTGGCATGATCTTCGATTACAAGTAACAATCTTGTTAAAACTCGCCAACAATCTGCATCAAACAACACGAAATATACAAAAAACGAGAATGAGTTACAGTAGGGCAAATCACCGGCTTTCAGCACGCCCACTAAATCAGATACCAGGCTTTCAGCACGCCGACTAAATCAGACGCCAGGCTTTCAGCACGCCGACTAAATCAGATACCAGGCTTCAACAAACCGGTGGAGTGAATATAGCAAGGGATCGTTAAGACCTGTTAGAGATATGCTCGGTGTTTTTGACGGTGACCACGGCAACGGCTGAACAGCGCAACGTAAGACATTCAATTCAAGAACCTGCGGCTCTTAAAAGACAGCAGGCGTTTTGAGTATGCGCAGGCTTTGCCAACAAAAATACACTAGAACATTCAATCATTCAGGTTCTCACATCCTACCACCATCCACCCCGCGCTGCATTAGGCGTTCGCAAAGTGCCTGTCATCGCATGTCGATACACATCTTGTCGACATGTTAGCATGCGTGTTTCGGCTCACATGATATAGCAATACGGGATATTCCTGGTTTGCACAATTTGCTTGTTCCAAACCTTATCATCAATCTAGTCGAGAATAATTAAGGGAGTTCCAAAGCTAGCTCCACTACACCCGCGGGCTGATGGCCAGCAGCGACTCATCGCTTTGCGTTTAAGCCTGTAAGACCGGCGTGCGGGGCAAGAACACGCTAGATGAACGGCCCGAAGACAGGCGGGTCTCGCGCCGCGCGCTCTCCTCGACTCTGGCAGGCCGGCCCAGTGCGGAGCAGACGGCCTGCTGATCCGCTGAAGACGGATGGCGCCCAACTAGTCTGATTACGATCAATGTGAAACAAATCTGAAGCTGCTGGTGTTGACGCGTCGCCAGCTCAGTCCAATCAGGAGTGCGTACGTGACGTCGGAGGGAGCCGCCGGCGGCCGCAGCGACGCGGCCGGACACCGCCCGTCCGACCCCCGGCCGAGATAGGTCACGACGCCCCCTTGCGCTACCCCCTCCCCGCAGTCACGCTGCCGCCCCCCCCCCCGCAGAGTCACGCTGCCCCCCCGCAGAGTCCGCTGCCACCCCTCCCCCCGCAGAGTCACGCTGCCGCCCCCCCCCCGCAGAGTCCGCTGCCACCCCCCCCCGCAGAGTCCGCTGCCGCCCCCCCCCGCAAGTCACGCTGCCGCCCCCCCCCCGCAGAGTCACGCTGCCGCCCCCCCCGCAGAGTCACGCTGCCACCCCTCCCCCCAGAGTCACGCTGCCGCCCCCCCCCCCGCAGAGTCGCGCTGCCGTGGCCGGGTCGGCCCACACCAGACACGGCTGGGCCGGCGACACCCGGCAGCAGTAATGCTGTGCTGGCAAATGCTGGTGGACAGGCTCCGGATCTGTTCCCCAACCGTCCGTCGCCCGTGGTGGGTCCAGGGAAGTTGGAACACCCGGCTCGTCTCCGGTCCACTGTACTCGGCAACAAAGGCGCCTGTTATCCCAGACCTGCTGAAGCGTTCGGCGCGACACAGAGCACTGCCAACCCGCACTGGATGTATTTCCTCGCTTTCCTCTTCGCTCCACATTCTTGTAAGGCGCAAACTACGCGTTTCTTTCGTCCTGTTTTTTTTTAACATGCAAGACATGCAATAATGCATGGCCCCAGTGTTAACGGAAAAGTTATTGCATGACGAGGCGGTGACCATGCACGCGCTGATGTCATGTAAGTGACGTCAATATTTTAGTGAGCTGCACTACATGGCAAGCGACGGCAGGCGCTGTTTTCACCCCCCCCCCCCCTTACGCCGACCCCTGCGTGTCCCCATTACCCACACGCCCCTACCCACTCCCACACACTTGGAATCTCACCTACGACGTGCACCCGTCCGTTGCCCTGCTCGGAGGCGAAGTCGGGCGCCTCGGCGGAGATTTCGCACATGTAGTGGCCCGAGTAGCGCAGAGTCGTCTGCTGCAGCCGCACGTGCGTCTCGTTCGAGGCGGCCAGCTGCGGCGAACGACAGTCGCGGCGTGAACGACCGCCACCCCGGCATGCGACACCCACCGCGGCCACCGGGCTCGGCCACCGAAATACAACCCTGGCAGCGATCCTGGAGATTTCGTAGCCCTTACGCGCTGGCGTTTTGAGACGCAGACCTTCTATGGAAAAGATAATGCGCAAACAGCAGAATAAACAGGACGAAGTACATGAAGTGGCGTTAGGTTTGGCAAACTCGGCCAAAAGGCAAAACTTTTGCGTAAGCATTCATTGTTCGCCATCATAAGTGTGCCTATCACCCACTTTACGGTAGCGAATTTAGGCCGTGGGAAAAGTCATAAGCATTGCGCACATGAAATGACGAATAAGTACACGAGGACAAACTAAAAACGTTCCTGGAGGAAAACTTGCCGGCTATTTCAATGACGCGTTTTGCTTCTGCTTATGGCTTCCGATGGCCTCCATGGATTGCACATTTTACACCAAATTGGCTTCCTCTCTAACCATTCTAACATAAAGAAAGAGTTGTGAGGCAGAGTCAATTCACGTGAGACAGACAGCGCAGAGTGGTGTTATGTTTGGGATCACGGGCCGCGCGGCTGACAGCCCCGGCATCATTAGCATGCGTCGAGCCGAGTTTGTGACAGGTTCGATGACATCTGGATGACACATCGGCGAAGGTGTCAACACGACGGCTGTCACCGGCCGAGGATCTGTCAGCCGGGCGCAGCTGTTGACGGATCAATATGAACCACTTCTCTCGCAACGTGATGGCCGCAAATCAAGGACGTGTGTGTAAGGCGCGACATCTCATGATTCACGTTCTCTGCTTTCTGACGAACGAACGATCTCCATGTTGGTACCGTCTTGGAAAGCTTACGATAGATCCAACATCTTTAAAAGCTCGGAACAGCTGTTTTTGTTTCGTACTGGCCGTCGTCCAGATTTCGGCTCTCAAGGATATTACTCTGACGCTGATCTGTTCTTGTCCGACCTTTTCCAATATTCATCCTATAGGTGTCCAGCAAGGCACGACAACCGGTCTGCGTCAGGCCCAACGGCAAGCACACTTTTAGCAATTTTCACTCGATTGAAAACTGCCGTGCCCAATGTCATACGGGTTACGCCTAATGGCTGTCTACAGTTCCTGCCTTCGACAAATGAAAGCCTTTGAAGGATGGCATATCATGGCAGCTACATCTCAGAGAAGCCCAGCTGACAGCCAGTTACTCACATTGACCTTGATGCCCGGCTGCGGGAAGCTCTTCTTCGGCCGTCCCGTGGCTGGCTCATATCTATAAAACTCCTTTCCGTCCTTGTACCACTTGATGGCGTAGAGGTCCTTGCCCTCCAGGTCGTACAGGCAGGCCAGGTTCACGTCTTCGCCGTGCTTGACGTGGGTCGGGATGCGCACCTTATACAGCTGTAGGCCATCAGCAGCTGCAACAACGGGAGAGAGCCCTTCACGACACCGGCACAAAACGCTCTCCTGTGCTAGCACATCTGTGTCCCTGCTCAGAGGCCTCCCCAACCACAGCCCTGGCTGCGCGCCTGCTCCTGCGCAACTCCGTACAACTGCGATGAGCGCCGTAAAGAACAACTATGAATTTACCGTCATACGTCCTTCAGTCGTCACGTAAAATTTCGGACCACGGCGATGTGTGATCGAGGATCTGCATCAAAGCTGTAGGAGCATTGCTCTGGCCGGGGATCCGCGTTCATGCTGTAGTAACATTGCACACCCTCCTCTGAACGGACACCTGATACGGAACGAATATCGAACACGTAGCCAACAGTGTCCCCATGGTAAGCCTGTCCCCAGCAGCCACTGGATACTGGCGGACAGGACACTGGTGACGGTGTGGTGCTGTCGGGCAGCGGGACTGCCCTGCCCTGTCCGGCGGCGAGTGATACTGGAGCTGTTCCGCCCGACAGCGGGAACAGCTCCAGTAACTGCCCCGTCCTGTTCCGTCCAGAGACGCAACGGGACGCGGCGCACCGCTGCGTCCCGTTGTTTCAGCCGGCCGGCCGTCCGCCCCCCCCCCCCCCCCCTTCTCCCGGCAGCACCAGGACTATCCGAATCCTTGCTATCATAAACCGGTGGCGACACAATGCCCCTGATTACTGGTCAAACTGTGAGTCAATTGCGGCTGTTCAACGGTCCGGCCGAATAGCGCCAGACTCCAGCTCGATCGCGCCCGGTCAGCCTCCGCGGCCGCGACAGTAACACCGCAAATACGTAAGTGAGGCCATTTTCAGTTCCAGACCCAAGTCGCAATGAATCATACGCGGGTTGGCGGGGAAAGGACCCCTCCGTTTGCGGTTGTCACAGCAAATCAGCGCCTGCTGATACCCGCGTCAGCTCAGGTTTCAATTGCCTACCCGGACGGCGCGAAAACGCGCCAACTCAGTCGCGATTGCACAGCGGTGGCGCAGCACACGTTCGGTCTCAACAGAGGTTACTACAAAAACCATACGGCCCACGCTGATTCCCCAGCTAGTGCCAACAGATCGTTTGCTGATGCAAATATATCAAAGGAGAAAATGACACCAAAGCTGCATATTTGCACAACAAAACAGCTTCTGTACCCACTTTATAGCCGATTAGTGGGTGATGTCACGGGTTGAGAATTACGCCGGCAGAGAGCGGCGAATGCAGCTGTGCAAGCCAACAGCCACCTGAATCACTGGCTCCTGTGCAGAATATAAGGCCGACAATGCCAGGAGCACATCCTGACAGCATCGCTTACAGGGATCTAGAAGTGCTGGCAACATTCCAACGTTCTCAGCCCGGAGAGCCAGTGACGAGCCTGACTGGCCGTTGGCCGGGTGGTTAGCCTCGGTACTGAGCGGCCGTGCAGGGGGAGTGGTTAGCCTCGGTACTGGGCGGCCGTGCAGAGGGGGGGGGGGGGGGTTTAGCCTCGGTACTGAGCGGCCGTGCAGGGGGAGTGGTTAGCCTCGGTACTGGGCGGCCGTGCAGGGGGGTGGGTTAGCCTCAGTACTGAGGGGCCGTGCAGGGGGAGTGTTTAGCCTCGGTACTGGGGGCCGTGCAGGGGAGTGGTTAGACTCGGTACTGAGGCCGTGCAGGAGTGGTTGACTCGGTACTGAGGGGCCGCGCAGGGAATGGTTAGCCTCGGTACTGACCAAGAAAACTGCTATTGTCCAGTCGTTCAATCTGGTGTTCGTGAGCAAGATTTCCAGGTATACCGGCGGTCAATTGGCCCTCGATCAAAGTTGTGGAAGATACAAAATAATAACGATGACGTAAACCAAACAATA